CTTCAAAAAGGAGACACTGAAAACGGGACTTGCTATTTCTACAGTGCTCTCCTGTTCATTACATAATCGGTATATTAAGTACACTTTTCCTGAAAAGAAGAAGGACCAAGTAACTGGAGTATTATCTTCAGTCATAGAACTGGTTTTCTATCACATAGTCCCAAATTCTTGGTTTTTTTTTTCTGCTTTCCTTTCTGGATCTCAGTGTCTGTGATGCTTCCATTTCTCAGCTTTGCTTGGGTTTGTCATAAATACAGAGAAATTACATTTACTAGGTTGGAAGGTTACCCTTACAAATCACGTGGGGCAGTCTCTTTTCCAGAATTGCACAAAACTTACTTAGGACAGACATTCTCTTTTTTTTCAGCTAATGGTTCCATAAACCATTCAGCTGTTTTGACCTTTACTGTAAATGAATATACCAACCAGCACACTACCTCCCTTCTACCAACTCCCTTCTGCAAGCTACCTTCCAACGCAATGTAACCCCATCTGCAGTAGCATCACAGCACAGCAGAAAACTGGACTGAATTGAAATGGCTTGCACTGCACCTCCAGAAGGCCTGTATTTGTTCAGAGGATACCAAAACTGACATCTGAAAGATTTTGTATGGCTAATCATAATGCAAAAAAAAAAAAAAAAAGTCCTTTTTTTTTTTTTTCTCTTGGAACTACTGGGAGTCAAGATAATTTCCACAATAAATGGGATTTCTGGTACTGTTCCAGGAAAGCAGAAAGCTGGAAAGGAAGCAGGTTCAAGTATATGTCCTGTCTCCACCACAGCAAGCCTTATCACATTATATTTCACTCAAACACAATTACATAATCATAATAAATTACACTGGCCTTCAACTTAATGTTATAGGACAAAGTAGTGCAACATACTATTTAGTCTTTTGAAAGAGCATCCACAAAGAAAGAATTGAAATGTATTTATTTTCAGTGGGTGATCTAGATATTTAGGCACATTTAATGTAAAAAGAATCCAGCTAAATTTGAGTCAATAAGGCTATAAACTATACTCAGAAATAAGCTAGATTCATTACCTGACCCTTTGCCCAACTGACCTGGAAAGTTACACTTTCTGATCCTACAGAGAAGGTGTCTGCATCCATCAGATTATTCCTGAAATGTGCCTGGGCACTGCCTAGAAGAGAGCCAGGTGGCCTAGGATGAGAGCAGGCTGGGGACCATGCTGGCAGTGTGAGCATTTTAACAGATGTGGTGATCAGGTGGCAGTGGATGGGCTCATGCCCTGCTTCTGTCATCTGCATAAACCAGCAGTGGCAGTCCTTGCACTTTTTTATTCCCACTCAGAGTAAAATGTAGTCCTTTCCAGGAGTAACTCAAAAGAAAGGATTTCAGAATTTTAGTGCTTCTGTTAAATCAGTTACATTTACCTGTTTGCATCTTGTTAAATAAAATTATGTATTTAGATACAAACATGCATTTTTATTGTTTATGAATTTTTAATCTTCAATTTCCTGAATCTTTGAGCAACACAAACCAAACAACTAGGGGCTTACTTCCATCAAAATAGAAGCAGAATTTAAATGGGAAAAAAACTCCTTGAAAAGATGCCTGATAAAACTCAGAGAAGAAACATGTACACACGTCAAAGGTCTTCTGTAGGTTAAGTGAAGGCTGTTCTAATTTTCATTTTATCCTAATCAGGATAGTGACAGAAAACTAGGCTTCTTCTTATGAAACCCACCTACATATGTTTGGTAGCCAATACATGCTTTCTTACTGCCACAGCTACCAATATTTGGTGTTTATTACAGGTTTACTGGTATTCTCTCAGACCTCAGTTTTGAGCTATCCTGGCACCCAAGCAGAAGACTAAGAGAGTATTTATTTATATCTATTTTATTTCTATGCATTAGCTCCCTCCATCCTGGTAAACAAGCTAAAAAGCCAGCTAATGCAGCTGACATCTTGAATCATGTAATTTCTCATAATACATGCCAGAAATGCTATTGAGCCCTGCTATACATGCAGGAACGCTGTTCAAAATCTTGGCTTCTGGCTCTGCAGTGGAATCAGTTGTACAAAGGATACTCGGCATGCAATGGGATTACTGAACTATGCTGGAGGAGGAAGGAAGGCTCCATAACCATCATTCCTTGCTACATCCTTCATAGATATCCACCAGATGTAGAAGTATCCACAGTGACAGGTAGACAGAGATGCTCTGGGATGAGATGGCTGGTAGTGAAAACCATGTTTAGGATCAGCCCTTTGTATTCCTGTGAGACAAGACATTTTCTGACTGCTTTAGGACAGCTGAAATTTACAGGTTTTTCTTTTTTTTTCAAGAGAGACATACAAGAACCAGAATAGTTGTCAGATTTCTGCCTGAATTTCACTGGAAAAAAAACATGCATGGTAGACTGGCAGATTCAAGGTGCTGCCCCTCAGTTTAAGGGAAAACCGAGGATGTAAAAGATATCTGCCAGGAGCAGCCTGGCTGCTCAATTATTCCTAGTGCAGTGTTTGTGACAAATTCTCAACAGAGCCCTAATAATATTTCACAGTATTACAAAAAGCTTCCTCCTTTTCTGCCTACTGTTAGTGGTAACTGCCATTAAATCCTTTGGGACCATGAAAAGGCACAGCTGTCAGCGTCAATATACGGCATCAGCATTGTACCTATGTTTTAATCAATTATATTTTGAGCCATGTATTTGCAATACATAGAAAATTGACAGAAGATACATTTGGTATTGACCTACTAATAACCATCTGCCTTCAGGAGTTAACAGTTCTGAGAGACTTTTTTTCTTGAAACAGTCTTTATTTGAATACTTGTGTCTAGATGCTGTCTGTATCTGTTTAGAAGCTGTAGGAGTCTAGGGCAACCCGCCACTCACTGGAAAATTTGTGCTGTTATCTATGTTCATCTGTGGAAGGCCCAACCATAGCCGAAAAAGAACAGAGCAGAAGAATATGTTTTATTCAGTCTAAGTACTTGGAAAGTTAGAACTGCCTCTGAGAAAAATTTTAGTTTGTGGTACTAGAATGGACATGATATACGCTCCAAACTGCCTTCTGGGAATGATCCCTGGCCTATGCCAATGCCCAGGAAACACAGCCTGGCTGTTTGGGACAGTGCTAATAGACCCAGTCGACAAGTTTGCCCAGGAATACTCCAAAACCTTCTCAGTGTACATGATCAGGTTTCTGTACTCAGATCTGTGTTCTGGAAATGTTTAATTTACCATCAGGAAGACAGCTGGTTGATGTGTAGAAGTCTGAGAAAGTCGACCATCTCTTCTCTTCTCATCCTGTTTCCTTCAGAAGGGTCACTCTTAACAAGCCGCAGATGTTAGATCACTTTCACTTAGAACATCTTATCCCACAAGAATAACTGCCCTTTTGCAGGACCCACAGCTTTCAGAACTATTTATGAGAAAATACAGGACTGAAAAATTCACAACACGCATCTCTACCACGGATGATAAATTATGGGCTCCTCATCCTGAAAGACCTCAACTCCCACTGACAAGCACTCACAAGCTGAAAATTAACCACCATTTGTTTCCTAGGGACTTTCACATATTCAGCCTGAACCAGTCAATGTAACCAGCCAATGTAACCAGCATGCCTCAAAACCAAAATTCAGCCCAGATACGATGACTGAGGATATAAAAAATTCAAATGTTGCCTCCACCCATTGTCAGTAAGGGCTCTTCATCACTGGAAATTAGCCAGGTACAGGTCTGCCAGCAATACTTATGTTATGGGCCACATTTTCATCACTGGAACTAATATTCTAGCAAATCTTTCAGATTCACATTCAGAAATTGGCTCAGTTACCTAAACATAGGTCTCTGGCACTCTTTGAGATGCCTTAGGGTATCTTGCCTGAATTTCAGTTGCCAAGGGAGAGCAGAAACCTGTTAGTCTTGTTTCACGGTCTCTCAGAAATCTTACAGCAGCTTATAGAACAGACATCTTTGTACATCTGAATTGAGGCTACAGAGATGTGAGGGTAAGCCATTTGAAACAACAGAGTTGTAAACTGTTCAATTCAGTAATAGTGAAACTTGATGGTTTTCTTCCAGATTGCAAACCAAATAGTTCAATTTAATTAGGCCAAAAGAATTTTTTCCTGAGGTTTTTGTTTTGTTTTATTTTATGAAAAGGTGAGTCCCTATGGCATACTATACATGGTATTATCTACAGAACAATAAACAACCTTTAATCAAAGGTTTCACTCTTAATTTCTTCATTTTATGTATTCCTCCCAGGCAAAAAGATCAATTTTCTAAGCTGTGAGAAACATCCAGTCAAATTAATAGAAGCTGTAGATTTGAAATCAGGCCACCACTTTGGAAATGTCTTTAGAAATATACGTATAGTGAACTTACAAAAAAGATATACTGAAAAGACAAAAGGGAGAGAAACATATATAACTACACACTTTCCTGTAGCTTTAAAATTTTCTTTAGTTATTTAATAGACCATATTGTAAACAGTAAGAATGAAAAAAGAAAGCCAACAAACAAACCCCACCACAACGTCTTTAAAGGAGTATGATATAGCATAGCTGATACACAAAGCCTTTTACTGATAAAAAAGGTGTAAGATGACAAATATATGATAGAATTATAAATTTGTTATGATCCTAGTGTAGAAGAGCGTGTATTTTCCATTTCAGAGAAAGCAATGAAATAACAAAAACTTATAAAACAATCCTTATAACAATGAAAAATTCAGAATTTTTAACTTTTGATAAAAATGGATATATTTTCTTCAGTAAACATAAAAAAACTCTTTCTGAAGTAGCAGGTTTGTTATATGGATGGAGGAACATGGCAGGTTTTCATCCAATAATCACAAGAAACTGTAGCTAATTTAAAACAAAGACACAAAAGTTAGATATTTAACAACAGCATCATATTTTCTCAGGGATGCTGACCATTAAAACACAAAGAAAAATTACCCAAGTCATGGCAATGTTCAGAAAGATGTACAACACGGCACATGAAACTTACTTTTGATGATCTCCCAGTGGTCTTTGTCCAATGGATTTTAATAATGACTCTGGTCGAACCGTTAATTTTGGTGATGTCTTGGGACTAGTATCAGAGTCTCCACTTTCTTCATCTCCCATGGCCTTAATATAGCTCCCACTTCTCATTCTTCTGCAGGGGATCTCTTCATCTTTCCCACCAGCTGGGTATCCTCCCCATTCATCCTGAGGTACCTAATGGGACCATGAGACAATGTGAAATGTGCATTATTCTTTAATTTGTCATTTTACAAAGATGGGTCATGATTTTTTTATTCTTCAGAAACTGATCACTTAGAAAGACATTTCTAAGGTCCACAAATGATTTGGAAACATAATTCCAACTTCAAGATTGGAAAAATTTCAGTTTATAAATACTAGAACCTAAGGAACAATCAAGTCATGGTTTGTGAGCCGAGCTGCAATATGTATTTGTAGACATGCTCTACATTGCAGGAAGTACTTTATCTTATATCTTAGCCTCTTAAAAGTTTACGCACAGATTTTCATCTGATAACAGTAAGTTGATCAGGTGTTTCAGATCTAAAAGCTGAGCACTTCAGAGACTTTTATCAACTCCTTTCAGTCTTTAGCAGCTATTCAGGAAGGTGAACGATTTTAGTTAATTTAGGCAGTGATTTTGGCATAAATGGATAGGATTCTGGTTCATGACAAACTTCCGTGAAAAAACAAAACAAAACAAAAACCAAACAACCCAAATATGGCAATTTGTCTTTTTTCTTATTTCAAACTACATAATAGCTTATTTTGCATAAAAGGCTGTAATATACCAGAAACCTAACCAGTTACTTATTAACACATTTGATTGAGGCTGCTTTCATGCAGCTGAGGTGCTTTCTCAAGTAGTAAGATTGGTAATTGGATAAACCACAGCTGGTGGATGGATATCTCTCTGCACCACAAATTGGCAGAGAACTGAGCAGGAGCATATTTTCTAATCCAAAGTGAAATCAACCCTGTTATAAGACTTACAGATAAACTCAGCCAGGCTGCCTCTGACAGTATTCCAGTCAATCTCACCTCTGTGCCTGTCAAAATCTTGGAGCAGATTCTCCTGGAAGGCATGCTAAGGCACATGAAAAACAACAAGGTGCTTGGTGACAGCCAGCATGGCTTCACTAAGGGGAAATCCTGCCTGACCAATTTGGTGGCCTTCTATGATGGGGCTACAGAACTGATGGACAGGGGTAGAGCAGTTGATGTCATCTACCTGGACTTGTGCAAAGCATTTGACACTGTCCCACATGACATCCTTGTCTCTAAATTGGAGCGACATCAATTTGGTGGATGGATCACTCGGTAGATAAAGAACTGGCTGGATGGCCGCACACAAAGAGTTGTGGTCAATGTCTCGATGTCCAATTGGAGACCAGTAATGAGTGGTGTCCATCAAGGATCGGTGTTGGGACCGGTCTTGTTCAACATCTTTGTTGGTGACATGGACAGTGGGATTGAGTGCGCCCTCAGCAAGTTTGCTGATGACACCAAGCTGTGTGATTCGGTTGATGCGCTGGAGGGAAGGAATGCCATCCAGAGAGTCCTTGACACTCTTGTGAGGTGGGCTGATGCCAACCTCATGAAGTTTAACCATGCCAAGTGCAAGGTCCTACACCTGGGTCGGGGCAATCCCAGGCACAGCTACAGGTTGGCCAGAGAAGAGATTTAGAGCTGCCCTGTGGAGAAGGACTTGGGGATGCTGGTCGATGAGAAAATGAACATGGGCCGGCTTCAGTGTTTGCTTGCAGCCCAGAAAGCCAACCGTATCCTGGGCTGCATCAAAAGGAGCGTGACCAGCAGGTCGAAGGAGGGGATCCTGCCCCTCTACTCTGCTCTTGTGAGACCTCACTTGGAGTATTGTGTGCAGTTCTGGTGTCCTCAACATAAAAAGGACATGGAACTGTTGGAACAAGTCCAGAGAAGGGCCACGAGGATGATCAGGGGACTGGAGCACCTCCCAGATGAAGGCAGGCTGAGAAAGTTGGGGCTGTTCATCGTGGAGAAGGCTGAGTGGAGACCTCCTAGCAGCCTTCCAGGATCTGAAGGGGGCCTATAAGGATGATGGGGAGGGACTTTTCATTAGGAACTGTAGTGATAGGACAAGGGGTAACAGGTTCAAACTTAAACAGGGGATGTTTAGATTGGATATAAGGAGGAAATTCTTTACTGTGAAGGTGGTGAGGCACTGGAATGGGTTTCCCAAGGAGGCTGTGAATGCTCCATCCCTGGCAGTGTTCAAGGCCAGGTTGGACAGAGCCTTGGGTGACATGGTTTAGTGGGAGGCGTCCCTGCCCATGGCAGGGGGGTTGGAAGTAGATGGTCCTTTCCAACCCTAACTATTCTATGATTCTATATATTGCTGAGTCTTTGTTGTTTTTTTTTTTTTTTTTTCTTTAATCTTCCAAGCTGCTGAGTTCCCTGGTACTAATCCAGAAACACACTTAAGCATTTACTTAAAGGCTATCAGCAACTCTCTGAAATCCATTATAATGACTCATGGTTAAAAACAAGGATGTGACAGAGTACATTAGTGGACCAGGGCTGATGAGCTTGGCAGCATCCAATTCTTTATCAGCCTAATGACTTTATATATATGAAACAGTACAATGGCATTATTTACCAATACATTATAAATCTGAACTTCCAGTTAAAGACATATTAAGGAGTTTCTTCAAAGCAGGATGTTTAATGAAGACTTTCAAACAGACAGAGTTCACTGCAGAGCTGAAGCAAATGCTCCCATTGGTTTCATCAGTCTTGGGGATCAGATTTAAATAACTAACATGATCTGCCTGACATCTTTACTGCCCTGTCAGGATACATGAATTAGTCACACACTAGGTGAACAGACTTGGTGTTTCGAGTCCCAGAAAGGGATCAAGCAGAAAAGGAAGTGTCAAGAAAGGCTGAATGAGTAAAGATAGAGATATTACATTAAAGAAACAAGCTCAGGAAAGAAAAAAGGAAGATTGGAGAAGAAGTGAGATAAGAAGAGATGAAACAGGTTGCAAAGATCAGAAAAATGTTAGAGACAAATATCAAAGAAAAAATTATGAGTTTTATATAAAGTAATAGGGCAGAGCATGAAACTAAATGATATATGGGTTAGATCATGCAAAGAAACAAACTTCTCATATTATTCAGGTTTGGACGGTGGTTAGGAAGGAAGCACAAATATCTTCCCAAACTTGAAACCTGTAAATGCAATGCATCAGCCTAATTTCTTTCCTATACCTAGTATGCATGAGATTAATGTTGGAGGAAGGTTTTTTGAGATTTTAGAAGTCACATTTGTGATAGTTGTAAAAGCCAAGCTCCCGTAGTATACAAAATAAACATATTTTCTTGAGCTTTTTTCTCGTTATCTGCAGCTGGCAACACAATTAACTGTAAAAATCTGAATTAAAGTGCTATATTAAGAAAAATGAATTTATATAATACAAACCTACCCTCACTTTTAAATCTTCTTTATTACCTGCATGTCAGCATAACTAAAACCAAAATACAAATGGTGAAAAAGCATTTACTGGGGTCTACATTGGCCCACTGAAAGCTATACTGCTGAATTTTCTGCCCTGAAGCTTAAAGCTGAATGATTATGTGCAGTCTTAATATTGTGTGGGGTTGTGTTTTTTTTTCCCCAACAATTTGCAACATTTCCATAGAATAATTATTTTGACTTGAAATTTCTTTCCTTCATTTTAGCTTGAAGATAATTAAATAAACAGTTCAAAAAGACATCGATCAATAAACTTTTATTCAAATGCAAAAATATTATGTTTCCCAACTTTCTTTTTTCTGAAATTTCATGTTCAAATAACTAGACAAATAAGGACTGATTTAAATAGTAAATGTAGGCTTATTTGTTGATTGAGGTTGAAATCTTACTTTCAAAGATAGAAATGACTGATTTTTTACATTAAAGTATCTAAAAAGTTAAGTTTCTTCACTGTGATAAGGAGCTTCATGAGGACATATCTTAATTATGTGCCTTGCTGGTTTTTGTTGATTACATTTCTATTGCTTTTTGAATTCATAAGTTAAATGAATTCACGTAAGAGTTAAAAACTGCAAAAGCCCGCTCCATTTGTGCTTGTGATGTACTCACACAGATGCACCAAGAATCCCTTTCTAATCAGAGTAACTTGTTGACTATCACAGAAGCATTTATGGTTGAAAAAAAAATTAATCAAAATTAAAATATGTGTATTTTTTTACCCTTGAGCCATTCAAAGGAGCAGAATACAAGGAACACAAGGAAAATGCTTCTGGATCCTGGCAAGCAAGTTTGACAATGTGTTCTCCCAGAAGGTTTCATGCAAAGCCTAGGAAAACAGCTGCAGTCCTTTTGCTGTCTTCAAAAGCTAATGAAAGGGCCCTTGACATTGTTTCTCCTCATGGTTTGAGAACAGCAAAGCAAAATTTGAGCCCCAACTCAGCTTTGTTCATCATTTACTTCAGCTGATAGATTAAATACTTGGAAAAATCTTTCCAAATCCCGGCCACTGTAGACCCCAACATAGCTTTAAAGAAAAGCAGAAGCATTACACTAGGGCAGGAAAGATTTTTATTTTGAAATATTAATAAAAATGTTCAACAGCATGTGTGAGGGTCATTAAATGTGCATTTTCCAGAACATGAAAAGGGCTTTGAAGCTCACAGAAATGCTTTCTTACAATAGTTACCAGTCCCTGAAATCCCCATTTGCAGGGCTTGCAGCTGCTAATTTGGAATAATTACCCTAATTATCTACTTGCATATAGTGATGAATGCTGATATTTATAATGTCTAAAAAGGCCTTCCTCCTGTTCTAGATGTTAACATGAAACTTTCTATGGGTAGTTTCTTTCCACAGAGGAGTTAGACTGCATATTACCATACGAATTTCTTTTGTAAGCAATGAGCTGACAAGTTCTGGATCTTTTCATTTAATTTTTGTTACCGGTTGCCGATATGGTTATAACTATTACAGAGAATGATGAGTCTCTTTCATAAATTTTATGCACTGTACCTGTGAGGAGCACAAAGAGCTTCAGGATATTTGGGATTTTTAATTGTTCTGCTGCTGACTCAGTGCGATATCTTACATTAGTCACTTAGCACCAATTTTATTAAAGAACCTGGTACCTAAAAATTCCTACATTTTATGGAGCTGATCCTGAGAGTGACCTCCAGAA